TAATGACTTTAAACGCAGCACAACTGACCTGACTGGTGTGAATGAGCACTGACAATTTGTGTCAGAAGACTTCACCCGCAGCCAGGCATCAAAGACATTTCTATGGTTTCTACTCTGGAACATGTACAGATTGGCCAGCTCAGTAGGCAGTCCTTTAGGAAAATGGAGAGCTGCTGATATCAAGTTCAAAACAGCGGAGAACCGGATCCTGATAACCTGAGACTTTTTACTTGAATGTTTCCACTTTGATATTTTAGTATTTGTGTATTGACGATGGTGTTCAGCATTTGTATTTCTTATTTTATCCCAATCACTTGAGTCCACGGTTATTAAAGTGCCTTTATCAAAACCTGTCCTGGTTAATTACGGCAGCTAACGAGTCCCAATGTAATTCTTCCTTCCACAGTAAGAGTGTTTTAATACAGTTGATTAATGAGGCCCATGGTAGTTTGTTACAGGTCTCTGATCACTGTTTTTTTTTTTTATACCCATGCTATTTGTCTTCTTTCAACACCAGTACGTGGACGGGACCGGCATGGAGTCCAGCTCAGAGCCTGTCTTCAGTACTCATCTCTATCCAGTCCTTGATGACAGAGAATCCTTATCACAATGAACCTGGCTTCGAACAGGTATTGGTGTTCTTGCCCCTGGATGTAGTCCTACACAACATATTTTGTGGTGGCACCTGATGCTTACTTTATGCTCTTTTTCAGGAGAGACACTCAGGAGACAGCAAGAACTATAATGAGTGCATTCGTCATGAGACCATCAGAGTGGCAGTATGTGACATGCTGGAGGGCAAGTGCCAGTGTCCAGAGGCCTTACGGTAAGGCATATGGTGTGAACTGTATTTGTCCCTGTTCCTTTGCTGCCTATACTTTCCTCTCACTCCCTGGTTCCCCCTTTGCTAGAGCCTTGTGAAGTGCTCAGTACCTCCAAGTATAGTAGAGCATGCAACCCTCTTTACTCCCTTCCTCTCCAATTCGAGCTCTATATGCATTCAGTGCTATGTGCCTTGATGGCCATTAGCCAGGGCTTAGTGCTGTCACAAGGAGGGGGGTTCTTAGCCCTGTGCAAGCTACGATCCTTCCCCACACTTCCTAGTAGCCCCTTTGCTCTAGAGCAGGGGTGTCAAACTCAACTTTAATCGTGGGCCGCATCAACATTATGGTTGCCCTCAAAGGGCCTGTAAGACTATATAAATGTATCTAATCTTTATCATAATTGCCTCTGCATTCAATTATCACTGGTTGTAGTAATAACTTAATACCTAGATCTGAAAGTAGAAGTCTGGGAAATGGCTTGGTGGGCCGGATTCGGGCCTTGAGTTTGACACGTGCTCTAGAGCTTTGTAAAGTGCTCAGCACCTCCAAGTATAGGAGAGCATTCAACCCTCTTCCTTACTCCATTTCAGCTCTATCTGTCCTTAGCGCTGTACACCGTGACAATTTCCTCCTCGGCTCCTTTGAACAAAATCGATTGAAAAATTGACTTTTGTTGAATTGAAGGACGCCAGCATTTCCACCCAGAGCTCGGCTCCTGCTGACTCGGCCAAAACGTGAGCAGTGTATAGCCAGCTTTACTGAAACAAATCCAAGTGAAGGATGACGTGCGGGCACCAAAGTTCTTCCATTGTAAAGAACCTTTCACATCTATCCTGTATGTTGGGGTTCGTTAACGTGCACTGCATTTAGGGAGCTCATTTACTTGAATGGGCTGCCAAGGTATCACAAGGCTCTGACAGACATGCGCCATTTTTTCTGACCCAGGGCAACACAAGGCATTGTAGTGCCTTACATCATGCAGCATTCTTTTAGTGGGTCTGGGGGGCCAATTCAACACACTAACATAAGCACAGTACATTGCCATACTTTGCGTTGTGGTAACACAACAGATAGGTGTGAATGGGCCTTAACTGTTTTATCTCTCTGTCTTTCTGCTTTTCCTTCTTCATTTATGATTGTATAGTGACTTAAGAATGTTCACATATGAAGCAAACAAACCTGGGACAGCTTGTGCTATTTAATACAAATTGGTAAATGGAATACAAGTCAGGGAACTTCCAGCTTTACCATGTCATGGGTCATTTAAATTGTGTTTACATATTTCCAAACCTGTTCACCATTTTCTGCTTGCATACAGCAAGTTGGAAAATTCCCTCCCTACAAACGCACTTCAACCAAGCCATGGATTTGGCTTGTGGCTGTGAGGGGTGTGACTTGACTCTGAAGAGCAATTATGTTGTAATCTTGCTCCAGGTTATCAGCTGACTGGCAAGAATTCGGCTGCTATACTAGATACTGAGGAGTTATTTATGTGCATTTAGAACTCCGACTTCTTTTGTGCCTAGCATTGTGATGAACCTGGGATGGAACCCAATTCGACTGAGTTCCCCCAAGGTTTCTCAAAACTGTAACTGTTACCCCCTCTTCCCAGCACAATCAGTTGGAGAGAGTCACGTTCCGCACCCCGCAGCTACAGTTGGGCAAAAAAGTATTTAGTCAGCCACCAATTCTCAAGTTCTCCCACTTAAAAAGATGAGAGAGGCCTGTAATTGGCATCATAGGTAGACCTCAACTATGAGAGATATGTCACATATACAGTACATGATTGGGAGAGGAGAGTGGTGGTCACAGTTTTGAGCAAGCTTGGGTGAACTGGGTTCCAACAAGCCCAGGTTCTTCTCTACCTAGCATGAGCATAATACAATATGTACAACTTTTCCTGAATGGATCACATTCACAGTCAGAATTTTGTTCATTTGGGGAAAAGTTTCCATCTTGCTTTCCTGAATGTTCTTGTCACTACTTTCAAACGTTTTACTGGTGTATGGCCAGCTTAAAACTTGTGTTTCCAGCACACATAGTCAATTCCCCTTTGTCATATGGGTGATTGGGTTGGCATGTGAAGGTCCTCTTCCCAGTCACATAGTGTAGGCCATAGGGGTTCTGCAGGCTGGTCAAAGGGGAGAGAGTCTCCTAAGTGTTCTGGTTTCTTCAAATGGCATGCAAATGTAACACTGCTTATCCTTTCCCTGCTTGTTTTTTTCTGTGATGCCCCCCATTACATTCATGTGGGTCATTGGGCCTTGCTGGTGCTTCCTGGTGAGATCCCCTGGGGTGATTCTCCTACAGGGAAATCTCATCTGGACACCTTGGGGGAGAGTGTGGTAGAGCTTTGGAGCGAGGTTTCTGTTAGACTTGCAGCTATCAGGGAAACCCTCTGTGTAGCTATCAGGGAAACCCTCTGTGTAGCTATCAGGGAAACCCTCTGTGAACACAAGATCAAGTATGAAAATGGTTGCCTTTTAGTGGTTCCTTGGTGCAAAGACATGGATTAGATTGCCTCTATTTTCTCTTCCCTGCTTGAATATTGGACTTTAAAGCTTCTAATCCTAATCAAGTGCAGCCAAGACAAAGTGAATATAATAAATGTTCAGTAATACCATTGGTAGGACACAGCGTTCACTCACGGGCAGGGCCCTCCTTCCCATCTTATCTTGAATTGTATTGTAATGTCTTCCTTATGTTGTAAAGTGCTGCGCAAACTGTTGGCGCTATATAAATCCTGTATAATAATAATAATTTGGTCACCACCTCTGTGTTTCTTGCAGGAGCGTGATGGAGAAGTCATTTTTGGAATACTATGATTTTTATGAAGCAGTTTGCAAAGACAGATTTCATCTACAAGGACAGAGCATGCAGGTAATACAATGGGGCTTATCTATGGGAAATGTGGAAAAACCCGTAGAATAAGTTGCTGGGTAAACCAATGAAAAAGATTGTGTACTGTTTGTTTTATGTAATCATAAAACCAATGCTTCTGAGGCCAAGCAGTTGCCTGTGTGACTGATATATACTAATAGGGGCTTAACTTGTCATGAGGGAGTAATATATACTTTTGCCAACATGGGGAATCAGTGAACTGCTATCATTATCTAGGTGTCTTATAGATCTTCATGCAGCCATATTAATCCTGTTTCAAAGAGCTTCTAATAGTAATAATTCTGAGCCGTTCAGCCTTTGATGGGCATTAGTGGACCTATACCACAGTGCTAAAATCCACAGGCTCAGACTAGCCAAAATGCAATCCAAGGGCGGCCCTGCTGGTACCACCACTTTGGTCAGGTGGAAAGTTGTCAGACAGACAGTGACTACAGCCAATTGGCTGTAGTCGCTTTTTGAGTATTCTGATGGCCACCATCTTGGAATGCAATAGCCAGCAGGGAAAATTCCTCCATTCACGTTCTTTGCTACGGTGTATGGCCAGCTTGTAGCTTACCTTTTTCGACATCAGATCCCATAAGAAAGTGCTCTAATAATGTGCATGTTTAGCCTATGTGGGGGCATAGCAGTAGAGATTAAATCCATTACAGCTGATCACCTTGTCTCCCATAAATTGGGGAAGGAATACAGACATCACTGCATAACCAGTCAGATGAGGTAAACTTTAATTGTGTCTGTAGGCAACTTAAAAAAAGATTCCTGGAGTCCTTTTTTTATTAACCCTTGCAGCCTGCACTGCAAGAGTTAACTGCTCGTTTGTGTCTAGGTTAAAAAAAAAACACAAAGATATACTCGCCTAAAGCTCCGAGCCGGCTTGTTCTTTAGACCGGTGCTTTCAACGTCTCTCCCCCTCCTCTGCAGGGGTCTAAGGTACTGTAAATCATCAGATTCTATACATTGTGTATAGATGGGGAGGAAGATTACTGCAGTGAGGGGGAGGGAGTGCCGTGACAGCTGGCTGGTTCGGAGATTTGGGTGAGTATATCTTATTATAGCATTAGTTATTTTAGCAGCTAGACCCAAACAAGAATGTAACCCTTGCAGTGTGGGGGTAGCCCCACTGCAAGGGTTAATAAAGAAGTTCAGGAATGTTTGCATTTTCCAGGGCTTTTATATAAATCCTTGCTATGCTGCTTGCATAGTCATCGACCTGGAACAAGCATGTGGTGTTGAGACATTTGATATGCATGGTTGTCCTGGGTCTTATGGCTAAATATTGAAGCTGGGGCCAGACAGATGATCTTTATTGCACAGTTAGCAAAAATAGGCCTTGTTGTTACTCTGTGGCAGGGGATGAAAGCTGTCCAACGGCAAACCTCTATATATAGATTTTTTCCTTTTAAAAGAATCCTGATCTGCTTTCAAAACGGACATTAAAAAGTATCCATTATGATTGGCCTACCTGCAGACTTGTTCCTGGCCAGCCGCTCACAGTATAGACGTATTGACGCAACTAGCATATTCAGAAGGAGAATAGCAGGCTATGTATTTCCTTGGACTTTGTGTGTTCTGGATAATGAGTGTTTGACATGAGTTATGTTCTGGTTGCAGGATCCATTCGGTGAGAAGCGAGGGCATTTTGACTACCAGACTATCCTCAGCCGCTTGCAGCTTATTCAGCAAAGAGTGCGGGAGAAACATCGGCATGAAACTGTGGATATAGACTCAGAATCCAGCTCTTCTGAAACAGAAATGGACACCCAAGGGAGCTCAATCCCCTAAACTATGGGAACGTAACCTGTAGACGGCAAGTCATGTAACTTCAGGCAGTAACCGTAGCCAAGTACTTAAGGAATACACCGAACAATAAAAGACTTTGTTGTATGCAAAGCCCCTTCTGCTTCTGGCTGCTGTTTGAAGTCGGAGTCAGTCCACCTCTCTGCTATATTTGGGGGATGATGGCCTGCAACCATCCTATAGACAAGAGGCTGGGGCATGGACTAATGGAGCCTGGATCGAACACGAAGGCAGCACTTTCTTGGATTCAATCCTTTTCTTCGTGAAATGGTCATTTAATGGCCCAGACAAGCCAAAGAGTTTTATTGCAAGCAAATCAAGCCTTCCCCAGCCCCGGGATTAACCAGTTGCCATTTTAAGCTCCAGACATGACTTCCCCAACCCACCTTTAAATTTTCACCCTCAGAGAAGCGCACTTTGTCTTATCTAATGGGCATTGTCCATTTTCCTTTAGTACACATATATATTTGGTACTGGGATAAAATAAGGCTTCATTGTATCCTCCTTTTTTTTTTTTTTGTAACCTTTGTGATGGTTGTAAATTTTTGGATGAGCAAAGTGTATCCATCTATTATTTTACTTAAATTGTATCATGCAGAGTGAATTCAGGGACATGAAAAAGTTCCAATAAATCTGTTTTCTCAATTAGTGGCTGAAATCTGTACAGAGGCCAGCTAGTCAGAAGTGTTTGCCAGGAAGCAAGAGACATTAATAAGGGCATGCATATATGCAATGTGACTGTTATGGGTATTGGGTTAGTGCAGAGCTGGGCAAATCCCAGGAGCCAGGTCGCGGGTGCTCTTTAAAAAAAAGACAGCTGGCTCCTAACTTTTTAAGATTGCTCTAGTTGTTGTCAATGAAGCCGGCTCCTAAAAAATCCTGCTGGCTCCTGAACTCCATATTAACGTGGGTTAGTGTATGGGACAGTGAGCGCAATTAAAGGGCCTATTTCTAAAAGAAACTTGCTCATCAACTTATCCCTTTGCCTAATTAGGAAGGTTCCATATCAATTGTACTTTAAGATTTGCAAAGTTGCAATGTTTTTTTTGGAAGAAGTGAAGAGTTAAAGCTTTTACCCATATCTTCACAATAACAGCAAACACACCTTTAGACATGTTTAGTAATGACAATCTACAAACACACTTCTAGATAATTGCCGGCTTTGTATTCTTTGCATCCCTTATTTCTCTTTTCTTCCCTAGTCTTCTGACAGTGGCCATGTTAACTAAGGGCAGATTACTAGCTCTCCTTTTACTTCCTGGAACATGTGACTAGGACATGTGACCATGCACATCATATCAGGGGAGGAAAATTACTTTCCATGAGATTTCTCAGCAATGCTCTGCTGATGTAACCTTCCCAGGATGCAATGCTTGGGCACCATTACATCATTTTTGCCAACGTTGACCAGGAAGTGGGGGGAAAAAAATTGTAAGTAAATAAAAATGTGTGTTTTTAGCTAATGAATGTAAGATGATTTGATATCCGCACGCAGAACTGTATGCTGATGTGATTTTTAGTCAAAGGTCCACTTTAATATTTGTCAGGTTTTTATTTCTACTTGTGCCCCCTTAGGGAATATTGTCCCTCACTTCCTGCCCCTGGGGTGACTGGTTAACACTGAGACAGAAAGGCATAGACAGCCTGTTTCTCCCCCCTCCCCCCCTCGGAGATATTTCCTATCTCCTACTGACGTGACGGGACACAAAGGACAAAAAAAAAATATCAGACCGAGGTCCTAACCCTTTGTACTCTATGCAAAACAAAATGAAAGGATTGGGCTTGAAGCTGGACAGATTTATCAAAATGTTTGTGAACAATCAATGTATAAGAATGGTCATTAGAGTTGTACATGTAGGTAGCCGGATCACTGGTATTCTGTGCACACAACATTCACACTGCAGCAGCTGCTGCTAACTGCAATAGTGATATTGCCAACTGCTAAGCAAGCACCAAGTGACCATATTATTGATCTGTAAGTCTAAAATGGGCTGAATAAAAAAAACTCCGCGAAGAAAGTGTGTAACGTACAAAGTGCTCCAGATGAGATTTGTGCTTCTCGTGTAATCTTACCTGTGTGCATCAACTCCGCTTGATCCTTTCTTCACTACATCAGCTCTCGTACTTTTTATACCCCTTACAGACTTAAGCAAGTTTGTCCTAACTTAAGATAACTAGGTAATACATCCTTTTTTGGGGGGGATAGGCTTTCTTTCGGCAATATTGTCTTAAAATTTTTTTATTTTCTATGCAATCTAGAGACAAAGATTATGAAACAAGAAAAAGCATTTTTTTTTATCTATTTTGACCAGTGTTTGTTTTAAAATTAGTAGTGTTACTGTAAATAAAAAGTTGCATTTTATTCTAGAATTTGTCCCCTTTCAAAATGACACAAAAATGGTGTTTTGGTACAACGCGTGGCAAAGCTATATGCAGGTAACAAATGGCACTTTCTCTTTTCAATTTCTCTTTTTTTTTTTTTTTATAACTCTTGATAAAGTAAACTAATGAAAATAAAAAGTTTTAATATTGTTTGAATTAAAAGGAAAAAGTATGGGGGGAGGAGATCAGAGTTAACGAAGGGTTAAATGGGAATGCATTTTATGTAATATTTTCTTTTACTGTCATATGCAGATCAAAGGTCACCCTGTGGATCTACAAACGAATAAAATAATACATTACAACTAGGGATGCACCAGTGCCGATAACGAGTATTTTGGCCAAGTGCTTGTACTCGCCCAAATGCTCCCAATACTGGAACTTCCCGCATCAGGAAGCTGGACAGCGAGTCATTACACACCTCCATGCTTCCTGATTGGCCGTGAAGCCGGCTCCATGCTCCCTCATCACTTATTGATGAGGGAGCATGAAGTTGGCTTTCCAGCCAATCGGGAAGTTGGACATGTGTAATGACTCGCCGCCCAGCTTCCTGAATGGTCGGTGAGTAATTTCCCGCCCCCCAGCTTCCTGATGGGCCAGAATGCTGGCTCCATCCTTCCTCCTCATGGTGACGAGGGAACATGGAGCCAGCTTCATAGGTCATTATACATCGGCCAGCTTCCTTAATGGGACTTCCGGTATAGGTGAGTACCGCAAAAAGAAATGCCAAAAACCGGTAACGGTGCATCCCTAATTACAACACTGTATTTACTCAATGACATGTGTAAGTAAGTGTCATTTTACACAGGGGAAGCTGCCTTTAGACAGGAGCTTCTGCTATGTGATACATGGCAATTCCCAATTGTCAAAAGAAGAGCTTGCTATCTATTGCTGGTAATAGCAGAGATTATAGGTGGAGACCAGCAGGGCCTCACTAGGCCATATGCCCTAAAAACTTTGAAGTGTTTTTAGGGTGTATCTCCTACACCTGAGATTCACAAAGGGTTGTTAAACGAATGATTTATTCCTTCTCCATTCATTCATTGGAAGACCGTTCTGTTTTAGATAATCACCACTGGGTATATCGCCTCCTGCAGAAGTAGGTGCACTAAAACAGGCCCTGCTGTTGGCCAAATCTCCCTCCACAGCTGTGTACAACTCCATTATGTACCGAACAGTTTCCTCCCTGAAATCCTTTGGCGGTTTCGTTAAGCAAGTTGCTGGGTAGGCAACAGGCTAGAAAATATAGATTCCAACCATTGAGCGCATGCAGTTTCTTGCTTTATATGGGTTTGGCTGCGACGGCCCACTTTCCCAACAGGCAGCCTGTGGGCAGATGTGACTGACCTAACTGCCGGATTGTCAGTCACAGTGTCCCCCTTACTGGCACGCAGCACTTCGGCTTTAGAGAGAGGTGGGCTACAGTACCATGGTGGACGGCTGGTTCACACCTAGGCGATTTATCGCGCAAAACACATTCGCATTCAAGTCAATAGAGGCTATTCACACCTTTGCGTCACGCAAAAAGGTGCAGGAGCTATTTTCCACCGATTATCGTCCCCTAGACATCTCTATGCATTGAAAACCTCCACACTGGCCTCATGGGTTATGGTATGTGGATCTCTTTCATCCGATAGCGGATACTCCTTGACGTCTCAGCTATGAGAAGACACTGTCTCAGGGGGCCCGTTGACCATTTTGTTCCAACATCCGCTTGTGTCACTCATTCAGGGAGTTACACATGTTGCCCTTCCTGTAAGACTACCGTCGTCACTGTGGGACCTGAATCTTGTCATCAGTTTTGCAGGGGTCAGAACTGGCAGTTGTGTCCTGCACGCCTCCATCTCTGGCGCTTCATAAGTGCGTCCTAGACTCTTTTTGCTGAATGTGGTTTTAGCCTTTCACCTGCTGATTCTGCCATTAACACTTCCTGTCCTAGGGTGACATCCCTCACTCTTCAATACCTATGGAGAAGTGTTGTCATTTTAGGAGAAGACTGCAGAACAGAACCCCTCTCCTCATCAATAACAGGGAATGTGTTCTGTAGTCCTCAGAGAAAGCTGGAAAGAATGTAACGGATAAGAGTTCAGCACAGAAAGTTACCAGCTTACAAGATTTCTGGCAGGATCAACAGGTATTTCTTGGAACTTCTCAAACATAACAAAACGATTTCAATGCTACCTAAAGGAAGAAAATAAGAGAAGCTCATTGTTATGGAGTACACAGAATTTATTAGTATACCCTAGCTTTTGTGCACTGTAGTCAGTACTTCTTGGATCCCACTAAACGCTATTGTTTGGGATCCCAAAAATGCATCAGCCAGAAATGAACGCCATTTCTGGATGCGTTGAATCACACATCAGTTTTATCTTTCTCGGGAGGCTACCTTGGTAAGATTTCACAATGATGATTCTACACCTCCCCCCACAGCAATAGAGAATGGCAACCAGCAATAGAGAATGGCAACCGGCAATAGAAGACTACAAATTTCAGCAATCCATGATTGCTGGTTGCCATTCTCCATTGTTGAATATGGAATGCGTTACAGTTCATAATGATAAAGAAACCGCCCTAAAATCATTATTCTTTTAGAAAAAATGTCACATGTCCCTTTAAGTAAAAGTATCGGTTACTGGTATGGGCGAGTACCTGAGGGAAAGTACTTGAAAAATGATATCAGGACATCCCTGTTTAATATTACAATATTTTATTGTAGAAAGTATAGTACAGAGGAATACAAGTTTTTTCTTTGCACAGACTAATAGGGAACCAATTTACATCCCAATTCAATGAATTCCCAAGTGGTCCTGTAGAAGGTTTACTTCCGACACTTGTCAGATTCAGTCTATAGCACAGTATTCATTACATAGAAGGTGAAAGGCCACTATTTGGCTGTGACTGAACTCCACTAAGAAAATGTCCTCTGTTATCAGTTAAAAGTCTTGACGGCACATGTAAACAGGGCTGCTAGATAAAACGTCAAATAGATGGGCTCCAGTCCCAAGCAAAGCGGTAACCCGACACAAAGGAGAATCCGCTTCCTTCAGAGGCTGTGTTTTGTAAGACAGAGGAGTCTGAGGTAGTGGAGATTTCAATGTCTAGTCGCCGGTGTCACGGTGGTCCCTCGCTGGACTCCTCTGGGGAAATTTGTTTAGAATAAAGTTCAGTGAAAAGAGCTGGTAGCCAGTACTCAGGGTCTCCTGGTGCCTGCAAATCCAGCCATGCCAAGCCTTCCTTCACCAAGTGTTCCTTAAAGGTGACAACAGTGAGAGGACATTAGCACAAAAGCAGCTGGAGCCATACAACATTCTTAGTAGCTCAAACTAAAACACTGACCATTATTAATCCATCAATGATCACATGGAATGACTCCCTTTTGTGTACAACATGTAGTAGTAATCTCATTTAATGCTTAAAAGGAGAACTATGAGGGGAGTGATTTCCATTCATCCTCATAGTTAGAGCCGACCTGTGACAAAGAAGCTGTCACAGGTCGGCTCTATCGATCGGGAAGTGAGCGGAAACATGCACGATCTGCTCACTTCTCGATCGTCTCCCTGCAGTGAGTCAGTCACTGCTCTCTGCAGGGATTCTCCCCTCTCTGATCCTCCAGCGCTGAGCGGGGGAGGGGGCGGGCACAGCTGGCTCTGCCTCTAGATTGGCAGAGCCAGCTGTCACTCACGCTGCTGGGTGGATCTCGACAGTAATGTTGGGATCCGTACCGGCTGCGGCGCTTACAGTATAGCCCACAATATACTGAGCTTTGGGTCACGGGAGGACGCTAGTATATGTCCTCCTGTGACCCTAAAGAGAACTACGGGGAAAAACACTTACCCCATAGTTCTCTTTAAGTTATTGTAAATGATTGGTGTAACTTGCTACTTGTGTGCAATCTCTTCAGTAATTGTTCGGCAGGCTAATCACTACTGGTATTAGTAAATGTGCTTTATCTACCAAAACCCAACCCAAGCTTTATACAGCCATAGGTGACTACAGTGTTTCCACAGCTAGGACAGGTTACTCAGGTACTGCTGGTCACAGGGGATGATGGCTTTACTTCTCTCCCCTTATCCTGGAAGCAGAGTTCCACTCCAGTGGTGCTGTCCTGGCAGACTCCAGCAGTCCTGCCATGAAGGTGACTGTACCGATAAAAGGGAAACACCGGCCAAACAATCAGCACAGCAGCCAGATGCCTTATTAAAACATGGAAACCCCCTTGGCCTATTATACAAACCCAAGTTCTGGAAAACATGATGGCTATACAATAAGGAGAAACCTCCCCAACCCTTTACAGTCCAGGCTTAGTCAGCAGAAGCATCCTGACCTCCCCACTAGAATTAGCACGAGGGTCTCTGGCTGGACCCCTACACGCTGTGGATGAGTTCTCTGCCAAGGGGCATCTTAAATGAACACTTTCCAAAGTTCAGGTTTACTTTAAACTACAGCTAGACATGAGATGAAGCTTCAGGTAGGAGATGTGTGACTAATACCCTACCAGTCAGAACTCCCATTAAAGGTATGTACAGTATTCACCAACTGGAGAAGAAGAGGGCCGTTCAGGGTAACCTTAAAGTATAATGAAAGCAAAAACTCATTTTCTAGGCATGTCATAAGGGGTTAGAACCTCTATCAGTTGTGTTTCCATCTGTGTCCTTGCTGGGGAGATATATATTCTCTATCTGTCCTGGTGACTCCCAATAAACGTTAAACTTGCTTTACAAACTTGCTGAAAGCTTTGTAAATGTTTGCGGTGCACTGCTCTTCAATGCCTCTGCGAGTCATGTCGTAACTGTCTGTTCTGCAAATGCCTCATGGAACTTGTAGTTCCACAACAGCTGTTGGACCAAAGTTGGCCACCCCGGATTTACAGCCTGAAGCTGGCCATTCACCTTACAATTATCTGCAGATTTTCTATGGTCAGATGGAAAAAGTGCAACAGATTCCTCCATCTACGCTAAGCTGTGTGGATGGAGGAATCTCCCTCTGGGCCAAGCTTTAGTATCCTGCTAGTCACCTTGTTTCTTCCAATAGAAGGTACCTTTAAATAGAAATGGGTAGGCTGCCATTGCTGACCTATCATTTATAACCAGCCTTTGCAGCAGGGTGCACATGGGAAGGCTTACAACAATACCGCACACTTGCCAGCGAGCCTGCAGCAGAACAGGTCACCCTGTGTAACAGTACGCGTTAAAAACAGAGCTTCAGGCAGGGGAATCTGTTTGGTTGCAGGCTAGCTGGCAAGTGTGCTGGGGACTTTTGTTGTGTTTTTGTATTGCCATTGCTGACCTCTCTTAAAAATCCTCATTTCCTAACTGTGGTGCTGACCCTCTTCCTTTAATTGTATCAAAGTTACGGACTCTGAGAAGAAAAAAAAAAAATGAAGATCTGGGTCTGACCTCACTTGCTGCATACTTATTCTTGGGTCAGTGGCTCAGAAAATGTTACAGCCACTGAATAAGCAGATAGCCAGGCAATTGGCATTTTTAGAAGGAAGCATCGGTGGCAGCCTCCATATTTATTTCAGTACAACCAGGACTTTACTGCATATAGTCATTATGTAGGATGGCATCTCTTGTCCTAAAGATTGTACTCCTGAACACTGGAGTGAAATGTTTCGCAGATTGGAGAATATTTTAAAGAATCCATGTACTAAGAACCAATGAGAGTGGATTGACAATAACTGCCTCCACTACACACGTGACAGGTACACTTCAGTACAGGAATGTTACCGCTGTCCACCGGCCTAGAATCTCACACAGTATAAACTCACCAGCACGTGCTTTGCTCTTTCTTTCTCCCAATTCAGATTTGATTGGATTTCACCAACAGTCACGTAGCCCTTTTTCTGTAAGAGACAATAAAACAGAATTCTTATTCATTAGGTAGCACCGAAATCAGGGGTTCAGTTATCACCAAGAACACTGTCTGCATGGAGTTTGTATGTACTCCCGCAGCCTCTCCTGGAACAAGGACCAATATGAATGCTTGTATGGCAAAGCAGGGCACAATACATCCAGATCCTAATGGCATTTCTAGCTCTAAAGAGAGGACTGGATCCATTGGTACCAGCAGTGGTAAAATACTGGCATGCATTTTAAAGAGGCCCTGTCATTATGATACATATATCCTACTGACTGTGTCTTTTTAAAGAACTGTGTTTGTCTCAGCATTACATTTTGCAACAACAGACATACTTAGAGGCTGATGTATAAATCTTTAGCCCAGCGTAAAGTTAGGTGATCGCCGCTTGCACGGCATTACTGCTGCTCGATGAAGACAAGCAACATAGGAAATTCCCATCGTGTGTAGGTAAGGCCGCTCAGCTATAAGCTTGGCGGAAAATGTATACATCGGCCCCTTAGAGTGAACTACTTGAGATAGGGGGTTTGTAGTCCCCTGAAACAGGGGTGTTTGTTCCCATATACAGACCGGCGGTTTGGTATAGCCTGTTTATATTGTGCAAGCACTTATTTCTAGTAGTACATTGGGGACTGCTGCATTGAATGCCGGGACTTGCAGAGCATAGTATAGTACTTCCTGTGTGCTCATTCCTTAAAAAGAGCCTGGATGGGCATATTTATAAAGCAGTAAATGTTACCTTTAAACATTCACTGGTGGGGAATCACTCATTTATAAACACATGCACCTGGAAGAGTCACCTGCAGTGAATGTTAGGTGAAATTCAGGTTCAATGCTTTATAAATATGTCCCTTAGTGATGATGTAAGCAGCCGCCCTTTTGGTTGATTTTTAGGAACAGAGCCAAGTTAAGCAAACCATTTTTATTGGTTCCTGTGTCCCTGCTGGGGATAAAAAAAAATAAAAAGGTGGCTGAAATCGAAGGAGAATCCAAAGTTATGAGTTGTCACCGGAAAAGAACGTGGGGAAAATCTTCTCTCTATAGTGGAGAATTTCCCTCACTTGTTGTGTCTATGGAACAAGAACTGAAGGAACATTTCCCAAAAATGGGATTCCAATGGCAACACCAAACTGGCAGTTTTAACCCTTTCCTACACCGTTCATAATAAAACAAAAACAAAAAAGCCAATTTGGGGGGTGACATACTTTACAGGTTCATATGAAAGGTCTGTCGTTTACATTGCACAGCACATTGGCTTAGTGGTTATCACATCTGACTTGCAGCACTGGGGTCCCAACTAGGATACTATGCACATGGAGCAAGTTTTCCTTGTTCTTGCAAGGATTTCCTCTTCCCACACTCCAAAGACATGCTGATGTGATTGTACGGTATGTAAAGTGTTATATCAATGCCTTGTATTCTTTGACAAGCTACAAGACATTTGTGAATGGACAATAGTGAGAAGGAGTGGGTAATGCGACCGAAGCTCTGTACTGAGCCAATCGCATCTATCCCTCTCCTCTGTGACCGGAAGCTGGGAGTTGTGTGCAAGAGACTGCATGCTGCAAGATTTTTATACTTTGCATCCCACCCTCTGCACATAACACAGCTTTTTAAATGATAATTTACACACCCAGTGCACTGTGTAAATGATCATGTTTCCAAGAGTGCGGCATTAAAAAGAAGTCTCATTTTTACATTTCCAGCATCTGCTAAGGCCTTGGTTCTCAACTGGTGGGTTGTGACCCAAAAGTTGGTTGCAACCCCGTGTTCAGTGAGTCGCTGCGTGCCTTCCACTTTTCTAGGTGAGATGCTCCTCAGCCTCCCCATGGCACAGCACTGTCAGTTCTCTCGCCAAGCGGCCATTCAAAATACGCTGCCCAGTGTCAGCTTGAGGTGGGGTGGGGTATAGCTGTGAGGGAACTCCATCCATATGTGCATTGCTTACAGCTCCCTCGCATGTCCTGTAGAGGTGCCTGGACCGGAGTGACATCACATTCTGGCTCCCGGAACCTCTACAGGACGCGCAAGGGAGCTGTACGAGCAATGCACATATGGATGAAGCTCCCTCACAGCACAGCAGCCCACACTGGAACCCAGACCGAGGATCCACTCCAGTTCTTGTAAGGTTCACACTAGTACAGTGCGGTAATCGCATAGTACCATGCGACTAACGCACTGTACCATGCAATCGCACCAACTGTGCATTTGGGTGTGGAAGGTGTGTTGGGTTGCAATTCATTTGAATGGTACCACAAATGCACCTCCCACCCACAGTTCGTTAACCCGTACCAGAACGCACGGTACCCAAATGCTGTGCGTTCCAGAGCAGTGCGACTTAATGACCAAGGACAAATGTGGGTCCTGAGGTTACACAGGTTGAGAACCACTGTGCTAAGGCATCATGTGATGATCACATAAAGTACTGTTTATAACAAAATACATTTCTCTGTAATAAAGCCCAGAGTAAGACCCAGGAATTAAATTGTACTAACCTCTGCCAGCTGTAGAACCACAGTGTGATCCATGTTCAGCTCTGCAGGTACCGACTGCACCAGGTAAGATCCACCTACAGGGATGATGCCAAAACCACTACCTAGGACTTTGAGTTTTTTGATTGCTCTGATAATATCGTCTCTGAAATAAGAAAGTACGGTAATGACTCTGCTGTATTGGCCGACTATGGCTCTGTGTGAAAGAAGGAGAGAGGATGCTTACTGACTGACGTCCTGAGCGAGCTTCCCTCTTCCTTTCAGGACCTGCTGGTGCAGTTCAGCCAATGTGATCAAACCTAGGAACAAACAAATACACATTACCAAAGGCTAAGCCTGACCAGGAGAAATGACAGCTGGAATACGATTGGTACTGATGGGCAATACGTTTGTTCTTATGTACGGTAACCTGACCAGGAGAAATGACAGCTGGAATACCACTGGTTCTGATGGGCAATACATTTGTTCTTATGTACAGTAACCTGACCAGGAGAAATGACAGCTGGAATACCACTGGTTCTGATGGGCAATACATTTGTTCTTGCTTTGATAAATAATTCCTTTTGGATCCTCTACAAAAGGTGACACACAGGTAAAGCAGAAGCATTGCTGCCTGTTCAGCTTCCAGCTGTCATTCTTCAACTGTTTTTAGAAAAAATAAAAAAAAAAGGTAAAATGAATAAAATTAGAAAAAATACAAAGACAAAAACACCAAAATAAATGAATGCTTCTGATGGTTCAGGCAATAGTGGAAAAATGAATGCCAATGGGCACAACATATTAATCATTAGCACAGAAAACAAGCCTGCAGATACACATACAGTGCTGGGAAATGGATTCTCTTCTGAGAGAGAGCAGTTATATTTCCATACTTAAAAATAGTAACATGATGTAATCAACCCATAGCAGTGACATGAAAACAACATTGCCGTTTTCATTCACTCACTGAGCTGATAGCATAAAAGCTAAACTCCTGGCAGACATAAAAGACCCAAGTGAACTCAGTTCTGTATTCATTACCATTACATTTATTTTATAAATGCAAACACTGCAAGTACATGAATGTGAGTGTCAGCTTCTTGTAATCGTCTATAAAGCAGAGTTTAGACTGGGAAAGGGAGAAGCACAACAAGAAGCTAAATTAGTTGTGTCACAATGCTTGTGTGCCAACAAGAGACCTGCTGACAGGAGGAGAGAACAAGGTGACAGACAGATAAGGTCCTCCATGTGCTGCTTCTCCTTTCACTGTCCAGATATAGATTTCAAAATAGAAATGTAGTTTGCAAAATAGTCAAAGCAAAACGATGTGTTATATCACATTGCAACCAGACTTTAGCTTTCAATACTTTACACTTTGCATTAGGGATGCACACCATTTAAGGGTCCATTTATAAATAAGGAGTATGGCCATACCACAGAGGTATGCTTTGCAAATGCGCATTGCACTCATGCTTCAGGGCGCTAAAGCAAGTGCAGCACAATCCCAAAGCATTAACCTATTCCTTGGACAGCCGGCAGGAAACTGGGAATTCAAATGACATGGCTACTAAAAATGATGGAGCATCTGGTGCTAGGCCTGAATGGCCTGCTCCCAGGAGTGAGTGTTCACACACAGAGCACGTACACAACCAATGCTAACAACCCTGGACCTGGAAATGCTCCACAGCTAATTTAGCCAGAACCAGTCTGGAAAGCTCCCAAGTGGTGTCCAGTGCCCGAGAGTCACTTCCAGGCTCACCCTGCCATGTCTGATCCAGGGGTTCTTTTTGCAGCAAGACCAAAAGTCAAGACAGAGAACAACTGCACCAGGTAGCTTCAAGCAGAGACCTCCTGCTGCTACATGGAGATGAATCTTGAAGAAAAAGAAATGTAGGTTAAGTCTGAAGTCAGCAGAGCCAGAAAATATGTCCAACCTCCTAGGATACTAGCAAAAACTGAGGCATGCTAGTAGTAGGAGGTGTTTTTCCAAAGGCTGGCCTTCAGTTATTTATTTTGTTGTCCTGTAGGCAGCAGTATAACCAGAAAGTTTAAGAATTCATTGTCCCTCAATGGACGACACAGAAATGTGTATTTAGCAGCTGAAATTGGAACTGCAATCAATTACAAATGACATTAAAGTAATTTTTACTAAATACTCTTCCTTGCACTTACCTCCATTGTGGTGCTTTAGAGCCAGACAGACTTCTACTATTTGCACACCTAGCTCATAATAAAAGTCACCCACGCCAAGCATTTCGGACCAAAATCCTTTCCCAGCTGAAAAGGCAAAAGACAAAAGTTATGAATTAATAGGAGTTCCAAACATTAATCCTTTAAAATATGGTAATTGCTGCAGCCATTAACAGAAAAGTGCACTTATTCCTTTTTGCCCTTCCCTAGGTCTGACCTAACCCATCCTCCCCCTTCACAAATGCATACGTACCTTGATCTGATGGCCGCGGCTCCACAATTTGTTTGCATCGGATGGTGACCCTAGCTATGCCTGCACATAACATAACTCTACAGACTGCTATGGGACCGTCTCCATTTTCTACGGGCTTTGGAACACAGCCCCATAGAAGTCTATGGGGCACTACTACACAGGTCCAGCAAGAACAATAAAGACTTGTGGCCTTGCATGTAAACAAACAGCGTTATTTTATTTATTACAGGTATTTATATAGAGCCTACAATTTACAGAGTGCTTTACAGTTCACAGCACATTCAAATCAGTCCTTGCCTTCAAGGAGCTTACAATCTAAGGTCGTGTACACACATCTAGGGCCATATTAGACAGGAGCCAATTAACCTACCAGCATGACTTTGGAGTGTGAGAGGAAACAGGAGTAGCTCGAGGAAACCCATGCAAGCACAGGGAGAACACTATGGCCACTGGATCAAATAAATATCTATTTGTGGAGGGAGAAGGAGGACTAGAAGAGGCCAGGGGAAGGGGACAAAAAGGATAAGTACACTTTTTTTTCAAGTACACTTATCCTTTTATTACCCCCACAAAAATATATTGCATCACATGCTGTATTGCAAAACCACACAGTAAAATACAATTTTGCACTGCATATGCATTGTATCACACCACAAACCAAAAAGTCACTCGCACTCCATATGTTATAGTCAAAACACTTCAAATTATAGTCAATCTCCTTTATTGACCATACTAGCGTCACATTGCTAAAGCGACGTTTCGGAACCAAGTGGTCCCTTCTTCAGGCACACCACTTGGTTCCAAAACGTCGCTTTAGCAATGTGACGCTAATATGGTCAATAAAGGGGGTTGACTAGAATCTGAAATGGAGTGCGAGTGACTTTTCGGTTCGTTACGTTCGATATGCAGAGGAATCTGCAGTCACTTCAAGCACCCACCTGACTTTTTTGTGGGTTTAATCCGGTCAGGAGTGCGATGGGATCTACTACCGGTATGTGTTGATTTTTGTATAAAAACAAATGCCATGCATAATTTCAGTGCATTGTAGCCCATTCAAAATGAACGGACTGCTTAACACAACGCACATAAAACACGGTAAGTCACATTTAACGCGCATACATTAAGGCAGTGCAACGGTGTAAATTGGCCCCAAGGGAATTTTCGCAACAAACTGCCACGCCGTGGTTTCTAACTAAATTTAACCAATGCCAGGAATTGTTTTCCTTTTAGTTTTTTTTTTACATGTATTCTTCTTCTTTATTGGGGTTAAAAAAAAAAAATGTTAAAACCGTTTAATTTTAAACACTACATTTTAATATTTTGCATCATTTCAGCCAGCAGGTGGAGCTCTTTTTTCATTCAGATATTTTCTTACAGATTGTCCCAAAAAAAAACATTTACAGAGAACTGTAGCTTAACCCTTTTGCGGCCGGACCAATTACATTTTTCACACATGCTAAAATGCACCAAAACACTATTTTCTGAAGGCAAAGGACCTAGAATAAAAAGATGGCATTTGCAATTTTTTATGTTGCACATTATTTGGGAACTTCTTTCTTAAATCTAAATTTTTAGGAAAAAACATTGAAATTAATTTCAGTGAACACAAATAATGACATTATCTTCAAATGTTCTATTAATTATAAAAGATGGAAAGATTGGGTTCTCCCATGTATTTCTACAGGGTCTGTAGTTGCTCCTGCTCTTGCTAAAGGTGCCCATACACTACACTGTACGATCATCGTATGATAATCGCGGGAAATCCCGCGATCGTACGATAACCGCAAAGTGTATGGAAGGTGTGCGACTGTTTCTTCTGTACGGTCGCACGTCTTCCATCGAACAAGCAGGCTGGAAAACCCGCCGAGAATCGTACGATTCTCCGCGGGTTAGTGGCCTGCTTGTTCGACAACTGCCTAACGGGCCGGCGTGCGCACGCGCACACTGCCCGTGGAGCATTGCAGTCATCGGGAAGCCCGCCCCTCAGGGGGGCGGGCTTGCGATGATCGCAAGTACGATCTGCCTGTCCAAGATGGGCAGATCGTACGTTTTTTTTTAAATTAGTTTACAACACTCGCAAGACAAAAGTCTTTCTAGGGTTGTAAAGTGTATGGCACCTTTAGACCCCTAATGTGTCCCCTGCCCTCTGCTATAGCCAATCACACAGATTGGACTTGGTCAGCATGTGATAGCGGTTAACCCAAAAATGCTTACAGCACAATGCTTCTGGGTTCACTGATTACAGAGCAGATCTAACAGAAGATACTTGATCTGCTCCCACTCCCTATACTGAAGTTGTCTGTTGCGGTCCCTGACTCTCCAAAGGGTGGTGTTGCAGGGGACCTTCTCAGGCTGTACAAGCTGTAGAGCTACCCAAATCCTTTGTACAACCAAGAGCCGGCTGTTTTAAAGGATACCAATATCATGGCAGCTGCAGTCTTGTTAAAACTACTTAAGGTCCAGGATGCACAGTACGTTGTATGGTCCCATATGCCAAAAATATTTGTTACAAAATTCTGATGCTGGAAAGGTTTTTATTCTGATGCTGGAAAGGTTTTTATTTAAAACTAAAGGTCAGCTCAGAATATGTAGTTTGTGTAAGCTCCACAAGGCAAGGACTGATGTGAAATAATCTCTATAGAAAGAAAAAGGATCATGAACTTACAGGCCAGAGGGTCCACTCCAATGGTTGCACACATATCTTGGAACTGGACCCTGAACTGAGAATTCTTACGGATTTCTTGCTTGTGTTTACTTGCAAACTCTTCTAGATTAGTTTTGAACATCTCTAACTGTTTTGACATCTATAATGCAGGAAACAGAACCGATTACAACATTGAAATGATAGGAGGACCTTTTTTTTTTTTTTTAATTCCTTTTTCATTACAAGAATAAAATAGTGAATTTTCATCAACATTGGACATTAAAGTGACAACATAGGAGTTCAATCCTAAAAATTAGAAATGCACCGATTCCGGTATTTCGGTATATCCGATATTTTTGTCCCATTCAGGAAGCCAGGCGGGGTTTAATGACTCGCCACCCGGCTTCCGGATTAGCAGGGAAGCCGCCCCAATGCTTCTCGTCACTAGGTGACGAGGGAGCATAAAGGTGGCTTCCCGGCCAATCAGGAAACCAAGCGTCGCGTCATTACACTGTGCCTTGCTTCCTGACTTGTCAGGAAGCTGGCCAATCAGCGATTTTAAAGCAGTGGCTACTTTACAACACACACAGGGGCCATGGGGAACAAAAGTAGCCACCCTCCAGAAGGAAGGGCAGTGTCAGCACCAATTCAGAGATGATTTGAGGATCTACAGCCGAGTGATACACAAATAAGATACATTTTTGTTAATAGTTAAGGTACTTAAAATGCAACTTTAATATTTAACGCCTGAGTTTAGTGTCACTTTAAAGACATACTGTACAGAAACGTGGAGGTTACCATTGTGGACCGTCTTCTGAGCATGCTGGTTGCCAGGTTGTCGCTGTCTTCAGTACTTTTTCACTGACCCAGAAGACGCATGCACATTAGAGAGTTAGGGTGTAGCCAGATCCCATAGTCATAGCAGGTCAGGAAGCATTAAAACCGCTGGATCAGCACAACAGGCAGGAGAACTAACATTTTCAGAAGGAGAGGTCAGGCAGGTCTCCGCTCATTGGAGATAACAGCCAGATGTTCAAAAAAAAAAAAAGTTGGGTTTAGGCAAGATATTTAACCGCTTGCTGACCGGGGTGTTTAGACCCCCTTCCTGCCCAGGCTATTTTTCAGTGCTCAGCGCTGCAGTACTTTAACTGACATTTATTCACTCATGCAGCGCTGTACTGAAATGAATTTTATACCATTTTTTGGGGACAGAGCGAGCTTTCTTTTGGTGGTATTTAATCACCACTGGGGGTTTTATTTTTTACTATATGAAAAAAGAACCGAACATTTTGAAAAAGAAAAAAAACTGTTCACCATACATTATGGTATAAAACATTAATTATCACCCCAATTTTTTGGTAAAATATAAAAGACGGGGTCACATCGGGTAAAAAGACACAAAACATGTGCAGCTTTAAAATTGTGTGCGCCCGCAAAATAGCAAAAAACAACCATGCCTAAAATTGGCCATAGGCGGCGCTTTAAAAGCTTTTACCGCTCATCAGTTTAATATTATCAGTGAAGGAAAGCCCTCGAATGATTGCTCTCACTCCGACGTTTGCAGCGATATACAACATGTGTGGCGTAATCGTTGTTTTCGCACGTAGGTGCACCCGATGCGTATTTATGTTTACAAGTGCGTGCACGCGGGGTGAGGGACTCAAAACTTTTTTGGGCGTTTTAATTTTTTTCTAATATGAGACTTTTTTTTTTTTTTACATTTAACTTGATTGCTATCACATAGGGACTAACAAGCCCCCTACGTGATAACCAATATACAATGACAGGTCCTCTTTATGGAGACATCAGGGGTCTCTAAGACCTCTAATGTCACCTAAGGACCCCCAAAGAAGAGCAGAGATCTGCTTCACTAGCTTCTTCTCTGGCTAGCAGCAAGAGAAATGACAGCTAAAGGCGCAAGTGATTAATAGACATCGCTGTAGTAGCCGCTGTGTTCTCGGTCCCGGGCACCGCAGGAGGACAGCGGTGCCCGGGACAACCGACAGCGGCAACAAGGGTGGGGGGGGGGGTGCTGTCACTGTGCTGGGTCATACAAGTGATCAGACGACTGTAGAGCTGGCCAAACGCTTCTATGTAACAGCCGTTTACCGTCCCGGTGGGATTCTGGGGGTGCGCACGAGCAGAAAAAAAAAAAAGAACAAATCACGTAAATGTACATCCACTGCCGGGAAGCATCCGCCGTCCGCCTGTATTTTTACAATGGGCAGACGGGCAAGGGGGTTAATAAAATCAAAATAATTTTTTTTTTAATGTATAGAGATTGCAAAGAGTCAACGCTTTGTATAGCCGTTTGTTACCCTCATAGGGTCTGTGCTTACTCTAGCACTAATCTACATTCTCTCCCTTCCAAGATGAATGAGACTAAAATGAAATGGGAGCTCCAGCTAACACCTTTTAAGCAGTTACAGCAACAGTTTTTTTTTCTCCTTTTGGGATAAAAGTTTTACATAAAAGAATAAAAACTAACCACTGTAAGCACCCCCATTAGATCCAATCAGGTAGCCCCAATCCTACGTAGTTGTTGACAGATCTAATACAAATTGTAGTTGGAGTGAAATGTGTGGTGAGGTCTAGTTTGAAGAAGGAAAGCAATGGTCCAATATCTCTGAACTCGCACCCATACTGGTGATCTTGGGCTCAATAGCATAAACAGCCAGGACAGACGTCGGGTAATAAATCTCACATAGATGGACTGCTCGGTGAAAAGTCGCCCATTAGTATATTCTAATAGTCATGGAGCAGATTGCAGGTTACAGAAAGGTGGTTATTGACAAACTGATACAAAGTAGATGCAGATATTCATAAACAAACGTCTTCACCTGCACGAGCTGGTCCTCGGCCAGAACATTCCCTCGTTCCTTGTATTTGGCCTGAAAGATAAAGTGCCTTTTCAATAATCATTTCAAATTGAATAAGTTGAAACACTTGAGGGTCAAAACGTCTGTAGTACCAGAATCGATTTGCCAATGAGGGATCGTACAATTATTATTTTCTAATTAAAAAGCTAAAATTGTAAAAAATAAAATAAAATTATCAGTTTTGTGGACACCTTAATTGGGATAGGGAGTAAAGAGTATGATATGAAAGTATTGTTAGACTGAAGACTCCAAGCAAACAGCAGACGGCATTCCTCACCCCGCAGCCACATAAAACAATGGGACAGGGAATGACTCGGCCACACCTGACTGGGCTAGGAGGTGTCACTGACAGTTTTGTGCGGGCTTGTGCAATCCGATTTTTAAAGCTTTATGCAACGTGACGCGTCCAAATGGACATACTTCACTATAGCTTGCTATGCGTTAGCAGATGTTTTTGCAGCATTGCGTTAAAAAAAAAAAAAGTAGCGCATACTCTTTTTCCAGTGCAACAGACAGCCGTTCCCACCGTACGCAACTGTCCCATTCACACCCATTCATTTTTCATTGCCCTTGCTTTACAGTTGAGAAATGGATCGTAACCCAACGGATCCTTTGTGAATGGGCCCAGAAACCATTCTGTTCTATGGGTCCTTGCGGTCCCCTGTGTTGATCCAATGCGGTACAATGCAGATCACTGCAATGTGTGTGAACGGACCCTTGAGGCCCAGTGATCAAACAGAAAACAAAATGAAATCTTCCAAAGGAAGGATTAAAGCTTGAGTAGAAATAAGGCCCTGGATGCAAATCTTTAGCCAAGTGAGGGTGACCCAGAGTGAGAAATCCAAGTGTAGATGAGCCAAAATGAGTGCCCTTCAAATGTCTGAACAGTCCAGTTTTATATTCATTTCACAAGTTGCAATGAGAACACAAAAAGGCAGCCAATGCGTTCTGGGGGCCACAAACCCCCTTATTCAGGGTTCAAAGTGATAAGAGGCTGATGCTGCCACAATTGCTCACTGACTGTTGGCCTAGGACAGTCCAGGAGCTCAGTTTTTCCGAACCACTAAACTTCATTGTCTTAAGCCCTAATGAAGGTGGAACTGTGAACCCTGAAACGCGTTGGCTGTCTTTATTTATTTTGTTAGTTCTACAAGTGGCAACAAGAAAACAAAAACACATTAGACTCTTCAGACATTTGTTTGGTGCTCAACTACAAAAGAAATTAAGACAATTGTTTGGTCTTGTCATCCACTTTTAAGTATGTTTAAAGCCAAAACGTTCTCCCCATTTTGAATAGAGTCGGGAATCACTAAAACCCGTCAGGTTTTTTTGTCCATAGAGATTTTTATTCACTTCCGGTCCAATACACACAACAGGAAGTACAAGAAACTTTATCCAGTCTGAGGGAAATCACCTCCCAGACAGTTGTTTCTGGAACAAGTGTCCCATTGGAAGATTTCCCCTCTACCTCTGGTCTGGTGACAACTCAAGCTTTAGATTTTCCATTGGTTTCAGTCCCAGTAACAAATAGAGAGAGGAAAACTCCCTGATGACAATGCAGGTATAAAAACCCAACAGAGATTTAACCCCTTGTCACACTTTTTAAACCTAAACAAGGTTTCGGCTGGAGATACACTGTAAGGCTCACTGTACATGTTACCGTCTGATCATACCATCAACTTTAGATCTACCAAAACTAGGGCTGCAACAACTAATCGGCATAATCGATTATAATCGATTATTGAAAAAGTAAACCATGTAATATGATGACTAGGGGTGAGCTCGGGTCCAAACTTGAGTTCATGGGAACCCAGAAGGAAGAGGTCAGTGGTGGCCCAATCAGCTGCAGCAGGGACATTCTCCGGACTGCAACTGCACATACACAAAGCATCAAGAATTATATGGTCACATAACCATATTAAGTCTGTATAAGGTGAATGACATCACCATCATCCCACCACACATTATCCTATTATGTCGATGTCATGACCAAATGTGACCATATAAGGTCAGTCACCAGTGGATCACCCCTATGTTTACATGCTGACAGCTTGTTTCTGGGTTCCAACAGATTCAAGTTTGGCCTGAACCCAAGCTCATCCCTAATGAGGACCTACCTACACTATCCAATCAGTCAAGCCCTTGTTGGTAGATCTAAAGTAGATTGTCACTTGTGGTGAGCTTAAAAGAGAATTATGGGCTGACGAACACTGCAGCTTACGTCAGCTCTATTGATTGGGAACCGATAGATCACATACCGCTGATCACTCTGTTCACTATCATCTCCCTGCAGAGAGCAGTGACTCTCAGTCAACAATCCCCACAGGGATCCCCCTCCGATCCTGCTGACTGGAGGAACAGACAGGGGAGGGGTCGGCACAGCTGGCTTTAGCTCTAGAGAGGCAGAGCCAGCTGTCAATCAGGCAGTGGGTGGGGTGGGAAGCACAACAATATTGCTATAGCTCGCTATATGCCGAGTTTTGGATCACAGGAGGACATTAGTATATGTCCTCCTGTGACCCTAAAGAGAACTATGGCACAAAAATGTTGGGCCATAGTTCTATTTTAAAGAGAACCTGTCACAAATGGTTTGACAAGTAAACAGTGAGACTGAATGTAGCGTTATATAAAGATTGTTTAGGTGCAGTCAACGCTGCAAGCCGGGGATACTTCCAGAGGACATTTTCCAAGTCCTAAAACAACACCTAGAAAACTAAAGCAGCTGGGAACTATTAGAAGAGACTGTTGTTACACAGCAGGAAGTACCGGACAGTGCAGAACCCCCTCCCCCCATCCTAGCACCCGGCACTTCACCTCGGCCAGCTTCTTCTTGGCTATTGCCCCCGCTCCCACCCCTCTCCGGTGCATGGCTGGGTGAAGCACCAGCTTCCTAGTCAGGAGAAAGCGCTCGGTGACGTCACATCCATTCCGCCGCACAATCGCTTCCGGCCTCCGGACCAAAGAGCAGGCTGGCTAGAGCGCCCATAGAGAAACCGAGCACACAATCTATCTTTACTTCCGCCACACGCTAACTGGCTAGACTTCCGTGGGAAGTACACTAGTGGCTGGCCAAGACGATCTAGTCGCCGGGGTAAGTAGCCATTTTGTTGGTTGGTGTCCAACCCTCCAGCACGAATTTCCTGGCTGACTTTAAGATATTGTAAACAGAAGGGCAGACGGGTGGTCAGACTGTGTTGTAATTACAAGAATGGGTCTGCTATCTGATGAACTAGTCTTCATTCATGGACAAAGTTTCAGTTTCGGCCACGAATTTTCATTTCGGTGCATTCCCAGTAAATACTTGAATGCCCATAGCCAGGCCATGGATTCAGTTTAGTGTTTACATATTTATGTTTACTAGGGATGCATGGATACCTATACTAGTATCAGTGCCGATGTTCTACCGCAGATTGTGACTGCATTAGAATGTGTGACCGGCAAAAGGTGTAGAATTCAAAGCTTTCTCCGCTGTTCCCGGGCAGATCGGCATCGCAGATGGTATGTGCAGGAGAACCGATCTGCCCTGGAACAGCTGATCGGTCCTGAAATGTCACTTCTATCCGCTCTTATGAGTGTAATACAAAGTCGGATAGAAGTGACATTTCAGGACCGATTAGCTGTTCCGGGGCAGATCGGTTCTCCTGCACATACCATCTGCGCTGCCGATCTGCCCGGGAACAGCGGAGAATGCTTTGAATTCTACACCTTTGCCGGTCACACATTTCTACCCCGGAAAAAAATGGGCGTGACTACGTTAGAATGTGTGACCACGTGACTGGTCACACATTCCACCGCCGAAAAAATGGGCGTGATTACATTACAATGTGTTATCATCGGTCACACATTCTAACGCAGTCACAATCTGCGATAGAACACCGATACTGAATACTCGTACTCGCCCTCATCCTCCCGATGCCTATTTTGATAACAGAACTTCCGGTATCAGGAAGCTGGGAAGCAAATCAATACATGCTGCCGGGAAGCCGGCTTTATGCTCCCTCGTCATTAGGTAACATCTAGCTGGCTTCTCTGCCAATCAGAAGCCAGGCGGCGTGTAATGACTCGCCGCCTGACTTCCTGATTGGTCGGGAAGCTGGCCAATCAGGATGCTGGGCGGCAAGTCATTACCTGCCCCTGACTTCCTGATAAGCCAGCTCCATGCTCCCTCCTCACCTGGTGAGGAGGAAGCATGGAGACGGCTAATAGGGAAGCCAGGCGGCGAGTCATTACATGCCACCTGGCTTCCTTAATGGGACTTCTGGTTTCGGTATCGGCGAGCACTGAAAAAATATATGGGTACTCGATACCGAAAAACGGGTATCGGTGCATCTCCTATGTTTACTGTCAATGAGTTCCTGAAAAGATTGACTTCTTTTCTGAGATACCAAATAATCTAGAATCATGCAGGAAGGAATACTCAAGTGTTATATGAAACTCTGTTTGTTTATATCTCTATCTTTTCTAGGGTTCTACAAGTGATCTTATGATTCCTTGCCCAGAGACCATGTAACAGTTACTCAAGTATGTAACATTCTTCAGTCTTTGGAGAACATCCTGTGGAGTGTTTCATGACCTTTAGTTGCTCTCTGGATAATGGCGTCTCTGTTGAAAAGCCAGTTATGTGACTTTAGTTGTCTTACAGTTGTGGAGAAGATGAACATCGTATCTGTAGATGACGTTCATAATAAACCCCAAACGGGGAGAGATGACGGTAATCATGATAGTGACAGACCCGAAGAACACATCGACCACACGTACTCGTCATCTAGTCATGACATGGAAAATGAAATCCCTTACTCAGCACTGAGTCCCAATACTCTTACACTGAAAAAGAAAATAAGACGACTCCATCGCAAAGCACAGAGGCAGAAGCAAAAAATAAAGACTATGAAGAGGCTGATTAAGCAGTTACGATCCTGCAGTTAAAAGGAACATTAAACTTTTTTCAATATTGAATCCATATCAAACAAATGTACATTGCCCAGCTATTTATTTCTTTACATCTGTGCCCAAGCAGTCACAGTCATGTTTCTAAACAGCTTCAACTCTCTCAGCTCATCTTCCCTGAACTTCCTGTCCATACAAAGGTCATACAGGAACAGAGCAGACTCCACCAACTGTTCATCTACTAGCTTGGAGGAAGGAAAGAAGAGAGGAGAGCGGGGGGAAGGGAGCGGATTGTCTTGCTGTGTTTGTGTGGGCACATATAGCTTATTAGCACACACAAGGCTTACTCCATAGGGCCCTGCAAGGGAAAGAGCCCCCTAAAACAGGATATCTGGATCAGTACTCGGAGACCAGCTAATTCTGCAGGAAGCTAAACCTTCTAGACATCAAGGAGCAGCATCAATTGTCAGAGATTTCATCAGCATTGGAAATAGCTAAAAAAAACTTCTGACTTTAATATCACTTTAAAGTACACCTAGTGGATAAGAATCACCTGAATGCAGAGTTTACATGCTGGTGGATGGAATTATACATTCATTGTCCTCAATTCTTGGTCACACTTCTATAATATCTCAATAGCTCTTTTTAGATAGTCTGGTTGTTTGATTTCTAATAAAATCTGAGTCAGCCATATTTTTCAACCCGTCTCTGTGTATTCACAATGGCCAACCCTGGGACTTCTTTTTCAGTCATGTTTATGGAGACGTTGGAGATTGGCCATTATTGACCTTTTAGTGCCACCTGATTGCTTCTGCGCAGTACTCAGAATAGCACACTATGGCCTTGATTTACCAAAGGCAAATGGACTGTTCATTGGGTAAGGGAATCTGTGGGGGAAGTTATTCTTAGCTTGGTGAATGTGAGGAATATCTACTTTGCAAAGATTGCCTAATCATGTGTCCTAGGAAATAGAAAAAAAAAAAACAACAGTATAATTGCTTGTACATGATTGGTTGATGGTTGTAAGCAGAGCGTCACCTCTTTCACTAAGGTAAGGAAAAAAAATCCTCAGCAATGTGAACAGCCAATTTGCCCTAAGTAGATCCCCCTGTATTACAATACCACATATGCTTCTTTTGCACTTTTAATCCCAGTGATCACATATAAGATCTGCCTCCAAAATTGATGGTTACTTATATCCCTAAATGTAACTGATGTGCCCTCAACAAATATATACTGTATGTGATACCAATATTTACCAATATTATTAAGTATGCTGTGTGAATGGGGACACATATAGTGGGGTTTTCTAAAATTTGACTACAAGTGGAAATACACCATTTGGTCGTATTGTTCTCTCTTTCGTGGTCCTGCCCTAAATGAAAGTTCTCCTTCAAGATCTTTGTACAATGGAGATGGAATTTGAAATACATTATTACTCTTACCAGTGATATCATTTCCACGACTCCTCCATGGCAGGCCGATGTATCCCACTCAGGTACGTTTGACACATATAATAGCAGAAAAAACAGGAATCACCAGCACTCAGTAAATAGTGTTCAAGTAATAAACGTCCATTTAATCAGACCAGTCGTCACACATAACATAATACCAAGGTTTCAGGGCCGTACAGGGTCCCTTCATCACGGTAATGATGTGACTAACCTACTTAAGTGTTGTCACCCTAAGGCAGAAAGTGTGTTACTGCAAGGATCACCAGGTAAAAATAAAGGGAAACAAATCCCTCAACCCTTATAGGCAGTGGAACAGATGTCCCCTTTGAAAGATTTCGCCTTACCTCTTGTTCTGGAGGCAAATCTAAAATGTTGGAATTCCCCTTTCTTTCTTTTTGATGACTATTGTCAATAGTACAAACTGAGGGATCCAGGTCACTATCTGCAAGGAGTTTGCATGTTCTCCCTGTGCTTGTGTGGGTTTCATCGAGGTACTCTGGTTTCCTCCCACACTCCAAAGACATGCTGGAAGGTTAATTGGCTCCTCTCTAAGTTGGTCCTCTATGTATGCATGTGAGATAGGGACCTTAGATTGGAAGCTCCTTGAGGGTAGGGACTGATGTGAATGTGCAACTATGTAAAGTGCTGCGTAAATTGTCGGTGCTATATAAATACCTGTAATAAAAAAAATACAATTTTGGATGTGCCAATCATCATAAAAGTCTTCCCAAGTCTAAGAATATTTAAGGTGCCTCTGAAACTGAAAAACAAAAATTGAGGGTTATGTATCGCTATATATGAATCCAATGTGTCAAATAAAAATATATACACCCAAAAAAATCAAGAAAGCTGAAATAACCTGCCTGCAGCAAGGGGCGGGTGCATTGACGTCACCAACCTTAAATGAACACAAGGCTATATTTGGTTAATGACATTGATGTAATACAGCCATGTGGTCATATAAGGTCAATGATGTCAGGACAAGCATCCCAGCCCTTTGATTATTTTCATCCGCGGGGTGGGGAATGCCCCAGCCCACAGCTGATTGGGCAGGTGACTCTGCTTCTGAGTTCAGATAAGCTCAGGTTCAGATTGGGTTTGCTGCAAACCTGAGCTCATCTCTAATGGACACCATAAGGGACTGGTCATGTGTTGTGTCATGTTGGTGCTCAGGGGCGGACTGAAATCCAATTAGCCCTTTAATGCTAAGGACAGTTTCCCTTGGGCTAAACAAAGTGCAATATGCCATTGATTGTCTTTGGTGGGCACAGTGAAATGTAAGTGTTCATAAAAAACATGGTTTATTTTGACACAGCTTTTAACATCTTCAAGCATCAACTTTCCTTGCGGCTTTCTGCCTTCAGTCAAATGACATTTCAAAGCCAAAAAGGAAGATAGTTCTGGAAGACATTAGCTGTAATTGACTTTTAGTTTGTTAGTCAAGTTACTCTAAATCTGCTAGTACATCTAACACCACCCAGATTGACAATGTCTGGGTGGCTGCGTCACTCCTCCATAGAGAAGAACCACCCTAAGGAAGTGTGTTACTGGCCAGATCACCAGGTAGAAATTAAGGGGAAAAAGCCTAAAATGAGAAAATGAATTGAACCAATGTATTTCATGATTACTAAACTGCA